AGAGTCTTTTTGGCAGCCTAGCCACATACAGACATCCAAAATCCAATGAACACCTTCAGGCTTTTAAATGGCATATTTCCTCATGTCACTTCCTCACTGCCTATCACAGTTTCAGAGGCCTTGAAATGCCAGGACAGTGCAAACACATCCCCCTCAAGTGACCCCTTTTTGGAAAGTACGACAACAAATGACATGCATTTTTAATATCAATAGGTGACTCTTTAAAAGCCTTTACAGGTCACCACTTTAGATTTACACAGGAGGTCTAGTGCTAGAATTACGGCTCTTAATCTGATATTCACAGTGATACCTCACATGCATGGTACAATTGCTGTTTACATACCACAAAGGGACAGACGCTGCGCTCTCCTTTGCATGCAAGCACGGGGGGACTTTTATTGTCATTACAGGGACTGTAAATATCCCCTGTGAAAGCAATAGGCAGTGACGTACTCTTTTCTGAGAAATCTGGGGTCTGTTAGACTCTAGATTTCTCCTCTGCTCTTAAAGCATCTGATCACATCAAGATCGGTGTAACCAGATTCTTTCCCAATTTTAAAATGATGCTGTTTAAATTCTGTAAAACCAAAATGATGAAATGCTTGTTGCTTCCAGTCTCTTAGACCATAGAGATGATTGGAGCCATTCAAGTCTCTGATCAGCTCTATGGGCAGCTGGTGGAACCGCTAGCTGCATTCTCAACTTCCCCCAGTGGGACTTGAGAGCCTAAGAAAGCCTTGGAAGGTGGCGGGAGGGGGGTTCCATTTCCTGTAATTGTAAAAACAACAGATAATTAGCTACTAGTACTTCTTTTACATGAAAGCCAACCACCAGCTGAAAAAAAACAATACTAGGACGATGCCTGTAGCTGCAGGCATCATCTTGGCAAAACCACTCAAAGTCCAGCAACCTACCAGTGCATTGCAGGTCCTTGTTGGGCATATATGTAACAGCAGAAAACATGGGTATATGATGAATCGGGTCTGTGGACCAATATGACCTCAATCCATTCTTTTTTGTAATGCCCATGTTGAGGGTTAGGCCCCAAAAAGTTTAAAATTCAGAAACTGGGATATGTTTCAGCAGAGCGGAGGGGCAGCGGAGGGGCTAAACGTTAGTGCTGGCAGCAAATGGGGCAGATCCTACAAACACTGCTTTTTTGGAGACCCTATACTAAGGGGGCACTAGTATAGTTCTTTTTTGTGATCAATATGATGACCCGTACAAGCACTATACTAGTAATGGCGGAGATCAGTTAACAGGGCTGGAATCCCGATATTAAACAAGCAGGTCATTTATTTCAGTATTCAGAAGCTGCTCAGCTGTCATTAATTACCATCCACTCATCTCCACAGTGACTCATCTGGATACCGTTACCTGCCTCCTTAGTCCAGCCTACAGCCAGCTCTTTTTGCTATTTTAGCAGCTTAGCTCATTTCCTCCTTACCCTTATGTGGTCTATGATCTTCAGTGTGTTCCTGCCTGTGTTCCTGTGTATAACTCGGTTTGGCTGACTTCTCTTCCAATTCCTGTTCCTGATTTTTGGCTCCTGACTACATTGACGTCTATTTTCCTGACCCTGGCTCGTCTGATTACCCACACTGGCATCCAAACCCTGGCTTCTGTTTTGAGTACATTCCTGATCTACATTATATTTACTATTTCATTAAAGGTGTGATTGTATATGCACTGTCTCCACCTGGTTTATGGTTCCTGACATTACGCAAGGGCCATGAATTCAGAAGATGCAGGCAATCCACCTAAAAAAATACATAAATAGTGTTGTGCTAACTCATATAAACATAATAGTCCATAAAACAGATTCAAACATGATAGTTCAATCAAAATATGAAATATAAATATAAAGTGCTTGAATGGTGAAAATCAAATAAGGTGCTTGAATGGTGAAGAATCACTACGATGTGCTCTGGATAAATAAAGTCTATTTGAAAAACACAGTGCTCCACCTTAACTTAGTGTTCCTCCACCTAAAAAATATATGGATGGCCGCTCACCTCCTACCGTGGACCCATAAAGTAATACAGGTCAACCAAGCATGGTAATTCCAAAAAGATGTTCTAGTTGGCAGCAGAGAGCTGATGACAGGCACCCCTTCAATGACAGTATAAACGGGACTCTTCTTGGCTTAAATGATAGAAGCAGTAACATAGCGATTTGCAATACAAAACTCCCACTCCGTAAAAAAGCCGGCAATTACGTCAATGGCTCTGCCCCATCCATATATATTTTTAGGTAGAGGAACAGTGATTAAAGTGGAGCACTGTGTTTTTCAAATAGACTTTATTTATCCGGAGCACATCGTAGTGATTCTTCACCATTCAAGCACCTTATTTGATTTTCACTAGAGATGAGCGAATCGAACATGGCGAAGTGGAATTCGTTTCGAAGATCAGGAAAAATTCGATTCGCGCCGAATCCGAAAATTAGCAAACTTCGGATGCACGAATCGAATTTCCCAAAAATGGCGACGACATGTGTGGCGACGGAGCGGGGATCTCTGGGAAGGCGCGCAGACAAGGCGCGCTGACCCATAATGCATTCATTCATGACATGTGATCGCATTAGCCAATCAGCAGCCAGCCAGCCAGCACTGTGTAATGGTGGAGCTATAAATTGCGGCCATCTTACAATTCTCCATTAGCCTCCGGTCATTCAAGAGAGACAGACCTGTCTGTATTAGGGACAGAGTTAGGGCCAGAGAGACTTTAGGGCCACAGAATCGTTACTTAGGGACACAGAATCGTTACTTAGGGACACAGAATCATTACTCAGGGACACAGAATTGTTACTCAGGGACACAGAATTGTTACTCAGGGACACAGATTCGTTACTCAGGGACAGACACAGAATTGTTACTCAGGGACACAGAATTGTTACTGAGGGACACAGAATCGTTGCTCAGGGACACAGAATTGTTACTCAGGGACACAGAATCATTACTCAGGGACACAGAATTGTTACTCAGGGACACAGAATTGTTACTCAGGGACACAGAATTGTTACTCAGGGACAGACACAGAATTGTTACTCAGGGACACAGAATTGTTACTCAGGGACACAGAATTGTTACTGTGGGACACAGAATCGTTACTCAGGGACACAGAATTGTTACTCAGGGACACAGAATTGTTACTCAGAGACACAGAATTGTTACTGAGGGACACAGAATTGTTACTCAGGGTCACAGAATCGTTACTCAGGGACACAGAATCGTTACTGAGGGACACAGAATTGTTACTCAGGGACACAGAATCGTTACTCAGGGACACAGAATTGTTACTGAGGGACACAGAATCGTTACTGAGGGACACAGAATTGTTACTCAGGGACACAGAATTGTTTACTCAGGGACACAGAATTGTTACTCAGGGACAGACACAGAATTGTTACTCAGGGACACAGAATTGTTACTCAGGGACACAGAATTGTTACTGAGAGACACAGAATCGTTACTGAGGGACACAGAATCGTTACTGAGGGACACAGAATTGTTACTCAGGGACAAAGAATTGTTACTCAGGGACAGACACAGAATTGTTACTCAGGGACAGACACAGAATTGTTACTCAGGGACACAGAATTGTTACTCAGGGACACAGAATTGTTACTGAGGGACACAGAATCGTTACTGAGGGACACAGAATTGTTACTCAGGGACACAGAATTGTTACTCAGGGACACAGAATTGTTACTCAGGGACAGACACAGAATTGTTACTCAGGGACACAGAATTGTTACTCAGGGACACAGAATTGTTACTCAGGGACACAGAATTGTTACTGAGGGACACAGAATCGTTACTCAGGGACACAGAATTGTTACTCAGGGACACAGAATTGTTACTCAGGGACACAGAATTCTTACTCAGGGACACAGAATCGTTACTGAGGGACACAGAATCGTTACTGAGGGACACAGAATCGTTACTCAGGGACACAGAATCGTTACTCAGGGACACAGAATTGTTACTCAGGGACACAGAATTGTTACTAAGGGACACAGAATCGTTACTGAGGGACACAGAATCGTTACTGAGGGACACAGAATTGTTACTCAGGGACACAGAATTGTTACTAAGGGACACAGAATCGTTACTGAGGGACACAGAATCATTTACTGAGGGACACAGAATCGTTACTCAGGGACACAGAATTGTTACTCAAGGACACAGAATTGTTACTCAGGGACACATTATTGTTACTGAGGAACACAGAATCGTTACTGAGGGACACAGAATTGTTACTCAGGGACACAGAATTGTTACTCAGGGACACAGAATCGTTACTCAGGGACACAGAATTGTTACTCAGGGACACAGAATCGTTACTCAGGGACACAGAATCGTTGAATTAAAGAGTATGTCAGACAACACGCAGAGGAGTGGCAGAGGAGGCAATGTTTCAGGAGCGAGCAGACGTGGCAGCAGAGGAAGGGGTCGAGGCAGCACTAGTCGCAGCCAGAGGCCAGTGCTCCCGGTGTCATCCAGCGGTCGTGTCTCCACCGACAACCCTGCCGTCATCGATTGGTTGGCTCGTTCGTCTTCCTCTTCCCAGGTCACCTCTGACACCTACAGCCAACGGTCGGTGGGTACGTCAGACACAACCGTTAGTTGGCATGGCCCGGGAGCAAGCCCACTGAAATCACATGTCCTCTACCTGCCCCTGTACTTTGGTGTTCCCTCACCAAGCGAAGTATCGCATGCTGTGGGCTCAGCCCCACTGTACAGTGAGGAAGAGCTAACAGAGGGCGGTCAGGAACGGGGGGAGACATCCGCCTCTTCAGCAGCCAGGCGAAGAAGTACTGGCGAGGAGAGTGGCTCGGTAGCCGGTCTAGAGACAGGTCTGTCTCCTGACCCACACGCAGCCGAGGGGGCTAGTAGTGAGGCGGAGACCCTAATTGATGATGATGAGGCTGATCGCACTTGGCAGCCTCGTCGTCATCTGCCAGGCCCGTAATCTGCCATGGGCCCGTAATCTGCCATGGGCCCCCGTACCGACTCCTCATGCTGCTGCCAGGCCCGTAATCTGTCATGGGCCCCTGTACCGCCTCCTCATGCTGCTGCCAGGTCCAGAGTGTGTCATGGGTCCCTGTACGGCCTCCCATTGCTGCTGTCTCCATCGCCACACTCTGCCATGTGCCACTTTCAGGTCTCCTCACACTGCTGGTGGGTTCCATTTTGTCATAGGGTGCTGGCAGATTACGGGCCTCCCATTGCTGCTGCCAGGCCCGTAATCTGCCATGGGTCCCCGTACCGACTCCTCATGCTGCTGCCAGGCCCGTAATCTGTCATGGGCCCCTGTACTGCCTCCTCATGCTGCTGCCAGGTCCAGAGTGTGTCATGGGTCCCTGTACGGCCTCCCATTGCTGCTGTCTCCATCGCCACACTCTGCCATGTGCCACTTTCAGGTCTCCTCACACTGCTGGTGGGTTCCATTTTGTCATAGGGTGCTGGCAGATTACGGGCCTCCCATTGCTGCTGCCAGGCCCATAATCTGCCATGAGCCCCCGTACCGACTCCTCATGCTGCTGCCAGGCCCCTAATCTGTCATGGGCCCCTGTACCGCCTCCTCATGCTGCTGCCAGGTCCAGAGTGTGTCATGGGTCCCTGTACGGCCTCCCATTGCTGCTGCCAGGCCCGTAATCTGCCATGGGCCCCCGTACCGACTCCTCATGCTGCTGCCAGGCCCGTAATCTGTCATGGGCCCCTGTACCGCCTCCTCATGCTGCTGCCAGGTCCAGAGTGTGTCATGGGTCCCTGTACGGCCTCCCATTGCTGCTGTCTCCATCGCCACACTCTGCCATGTGCCACTTTCAGGTCTCCTCACACTGCTGGTGGGTTCCATTTTGTCATAGGGTGCTGTATGGCCTCCCATTGCTGCTGCCAGGCCCGTAATCTGCCATGGGCCCCCGTACCGACTCCTCATGCTGCTGCCAGGCCCATAATCTGTCATGGGCCCCTGTACCGCCTCCTCATGCTGCTGCCAGGTCCAGAGTGTGTCATGGGTCCCTGTACGGCCTCCCATTGCTGCTGTCTCCATCGCCACACTCTGCCATGTGCCACTTTCAGGTATCCTCACACTGCTGGTGGGTTCCATTTTGTCATAGGGTGCTGTATGGCCTCCCATTGCTGCTGCCAGGCCCGTAATCTGCCATGGGCCCCCGTGAAACCGACTCCTCATGCTGCTGCCAGGCCCGTAATCTGTCATGGGCCCCTGCACCGCCTCCTCATGCTGCTGCCAGGTCCAGAGTGTGTCATGGGTCCCTGTACGGCCTCCCATTGCTGCTGTCTCCATCGCCACACTCTGCCATGTGCCACTTTCAGGTATCCTCACACTGCTGGTGGGTTCCATTTTGTCATAGGGTGCTGGCAGATTACGGGCCTCCCATTGCTGCTGCCAGGCCCGTAATCTGCCATGGGCCCCCGTACCGACTCCTCTCATGCTGTGACGTTGCAACAAGGTGGAATTCAACCCTACATATGTTAGACCGCCTTTACGAACAGCGAAAGGCCATCACCGATTTCCTGATGTTACAAGCGGATAAAGGTACTCCCCTGTGTAACTTAGATGTCAGCCATTGGCAGCTCATGCGTGACACCTGCCGCTTGCTCAGGCCCTTTGAGGAGGCACGCTATTCGTGAGTCGGCAGGACTATGGGGGATGAACGACGTCATTCCTCTGTTGCACGTCCTGGAACAAATGCTGTTAACAATGGCTGGTCAGGGTGCGGTAGACGTGGCGCACAGATCTCAACGCCACATGACCCCTGTGGGGGCAGGACAGGAAGAAGAGGAGGGAGGTAGAGGAGGACATTGGTGCTCAGGAATTATTGAGTGAAATGGGTGGTTTTTCCACTCAGCGGACAGGAGTGGAGGAGCAGGAGCATCTGGTAGAGGAGGAGGAGGAGACAGAGGACCCAGACGCACCGTGGCAGTATGCTGTGGAGATGGAGGCAGGGAGTCCCTCGCATTCCTTGGCACAAATGGCCCATAGCATGCTCGGTTGCTTGCGTAGCGACAGCCGAATAATAACCATCAGACAGAGGGATGACTTTTGGCTGTCCACCTTGTTGGACCCTCGCTACCGTTCAAAAATGGTGGCCTTTTTCACACCTGCTGAGAGGGAGGCCAAAATAACGTACTATAAAAACCACCTATGTAGTCAGTTGGTCTCTGCCTTTCTGCGCCAACGTCCATCCTCAGACACTGTGGGCCCTGTGCGCTCGCGTTCCGCTGCCATGGCAGCAGGGGAGGGGTGGGGTGGTGGTAGGAGCAGTGGCAGCTCCACCAGCAGCGGCTGCCTCAGTCTGCAGTCGATGATGAGTAGCTTTCTTCACCAGCGCAGTGAGGAAACTACTAACCAGCCGCAGCAGCAGCATCAGGTGGACCTGGAGCAGGACCTCAAACAACAGGCTTGGGCCTACTTGGACAGCACCCTGCCAACCGAGGTAGACAATCCCCTTGACTACTGGGCAACGAAACTTGACCTTTGGCCCCAACTAGCTGAATTTGCCCTTGAAAGGCTGTCATGCCCGGCCAGTAGCGTGGCATCGGAGCGCGTGTGTTTAGTGCGGCAGGAGGTATTGTAACTCCGCGGAGGACACGACTGTCCACCCAAAGTGTGGAGAGACTCACGTTTGTGAAAATGAATCAGGCGTGGATTAGTCTGGATTTCAAACCACCAGTTCCTGACACAACTGACTAAATCCGCCATGAATCATGCCCCAAACATGTTATTATTTTTAACATAGGGGCCTCTGGCCCTTCAATTTAAGCTGCTTACGCTTCGCCCACTCTGCCATGGGCCCCTGTACCGCCTCCTCTTGCTGCTGCCAGGTCCAGAGTGTGTCATGGGTCCCTGTACGGCCTCCCATTGCTGCTGTCTCCATCGCCACACTCTGCCATGTGCCACTTTCAGGTCTCCTCACACTGCTGGTGGGTTCCATTTTGTCATAGGGGTGGCTGTATCGGGCCTCCCATTGCTGCTGCCAGGCCCGTAATCTGCCATGGGCCCCCGTACCGACTCCTCATGCTGCTGCCAGGCCCGTAATCTGTCATGGGCCCCTGTACCGCCTCCTCATGCTGCTGCCAGGTCCAGAGTGTGTCATGGGTTCCTGTACGGCCTCCCATTGCTGCTGTCTCCATCGCCACACTCTGCCATGTACCACTTTCAGGTCTCCTCACACTGCTGGTGGGTTCCATTTTGTCATAGGGTGCTGGCAGATTACGGGCCTCCCATTGCTGCTGCCAGGCCCGTAATCTGCCATGGGCCCCCGTACCGACTCCTCATGCTGCTGCCAGGGCCCGTAATCTGTCATGGGCCCCTGTACCGCCTCCTCATGCTGCTGCCAGGTCCAGAGTGTGTCATGGGTCCCTGTACGGCCTCCCATTGCTGCTGTCTCCATCGCCACACTCTGCCATGTGCCACTTTCAGGTCTCCTCACACTGCTGGTGGGTTCCATTTTGTCATAGGGTGCTGGCAGATTACGGGCCTCCCATTGCTGCTGCCAGGCCCATAATCTGCCATGGGCCCCCGTACCTCCTCATGCTGCTGCCAGGCCCCTAATCTGTCATGGGCCCCTGTACCGGCCTCCTCATGCTGCTGCCAGGTCCTCCATCGCCACAGTGTCATGGGCCCACTTTACGGCCTCCCCATTGCTGCTGCCAGGCCCGTAATCTCATAGGGTGCATGGCCCCCGTACCGACTCCTCATGCTGCTGCCAGGCCCGTAATCTGTCATGGGCCCCTGTACCGCCTCCTCATGCTGCTGCCAGGTCCAGAGTGTGTCATGGGTCCCTGTACGGCCCTCCCATTGCTGCTGTCTCCATCGCCACACTCTGCCATGTGCCACTTTCAGGTCTCCTCACACTGCTGGTGGGTTCCATTTTGTCATAGGGTGCTGCAGATTACGGGCCTCCCATTGCTGCTGCCAGGCCCGTAATCTGCCAGGCCCCCGTACCGACTCCTCATGCTGCTGCCAGGCCCGTAATCTGTCATGGGCCCCTGTACCGCCTCCTCATGCTGCTGCCAGGTCCAGAGTGTGTCATGGGTCCCTGTACGGCCTCCCATTGCTGCTGTCTCCATCGCCACACTCTGCCATGTGCCACTTTCAGGTCTCCTCACACTGCTGGTGGGTTCCATTTTGTCATAGGGTGCTGGCAGATTACGGGCCTCCCATTGCTGCTGCCAGGCCCGTAATCTGCCATGGGCCCCCGTACCGACTCCTCATGCTGCTGCCAGGCCCGTAATCTGTCATGGGCCCCTGTACCGCCTCCTCATGCTGCTGCCAGGTCCAGAGTGTGTCATGGGTCCCTGTACGCCTCCCATTGCTGCTGTCTCCATCGCCACACTCTGCCATGTGCCACTTTCAGGTCTCCTCACACTGCTGGTGGGTTCCATTTTGTCATAGGGTGCTGGCAGATTACGGGCCTCCCATTGCTGCTGCCAGGCCCATAATCTGCCATGGGCCCCCCGTACCGACTCCTCATGCTGCTGCCAGGCCCTAATCTGTCATGGGCCCCCTGTACCGCGGCCTCCCTGCTGCTGCTGCTGCCAGGTCCAGAGTGTGTCATGGGTCCCTGTACGGCCTCCCATTGCTGCTGCCAGGCCCGTAATCTGCCATGGGCCCCCGTACCGACTCCTCATGCTGCTGCCAGGCCCGTAATCTGTCATGGGCCCCTGTACCGCCTCCTCATGCTGCTGCCAGGTCCAGAGTGTGTCATGGGTCCCTGTACGGCCTCCCATTGCTGCTGTCTCCATCGCCACACTCTGCCATGTGCCACTTTCAGGTCTCCTCACACTGCTGGTGGGTTCCATTTTGTCATAGGGTGCTGTATGGCCTCCCTCCCATTGCTGCTGCCAGGCCCGTAATCTGCCATGGGCCCCCGTACCGACTCCTCATGCTGCTGCCAGGCCCGTAATCTGTCATGGGCCCCTGTACCGCCTCCTCATGCTGCTGCCAGGTCCAGAGTGTGTCATGGGTCCCTGTACGGGCCTCCCATTGCTGCTGTCTCCCATCGCCACACTCTGCCATGTGCCACTTTCAGGTATCCTCACACTGCTGGTGGGTTCCATTTTGTCATAGGGTGCTGGCAGATTACGGGCCTCCCATTGCTGCTGCCAGGCCCGTAATCTGCCATGGGCCCCCGTACCGACTCCTCATGCTGTGACGTTGCAACAAGGTGGAATTCAACCCTACATATGTTAGACCGCCTTTACGAACAGCGAAAGGCCATCACCGATTTCCTGATGTTACAAGCGGATAAAGGTACTCCCCTGTGTAACTTAGATGTCAGCCATTGGCAGCTCTCATGCGTGACACCTGCCGCTTGCTCAGGCCCTTTGAGGAGGCCACGCTATTCGTGAGTCGGCAGGACTATGGGATGAACGACGTCATTCCTCTGTTGCACGTCCTGGAACAATGCTGTTAACAATGGCTGGTCAGGGTGCGGTAGACGTGGCGCACAGATCTCAACGCCACATGACCCCTGTGGGGGCAGGACAGGAAGAAGAGGAGGAGGTAGAGGAGGACATTGGTGCTCAGGAATTATTGAGTGAAAATGGGTGGTTTTTCCACTCAGCGGACAGGAGTGGAGGAGCAGGAGCATCTGGTAGAGGAGGAGGAGGAGACAGAGGACCCAGACGCACCGTGGCAGTATGCTGTGGAGATGGAGGCAGGGAGTCCCTCGCATTCCTTGGCACAAATGGCCCATAGCATGCTCGGTTGCTTGCGTAGCGACAGCCGAATAATAACCATCAGACAGAGGGATGACTTTTGGCTGTCCACCTTGTTGGACCCTCGCTACCGTTCAAAAATGGTGGCCTTTTTCACACCTGCTGAGAGGGAGGCCAAAATAACGTACTATAAAAACCACCTATGTAGTCAGTTGGTCTCTGCCTTTCTGCGCCAACGTCCATCCTCAGACACTGTGGGCCCTGTGCGCTCGCGTTCCGCTGCCATGGCAGCAGGGGAGGGGTGGGGTGGTAAGAGCAGTGGCAGCTCCACCAGCAGCGGCTGCCTCAGTCTGCAGTCGATGATGAGTAGCTTTCTTCACCAGCGCAGTGAGGAAACTACTAACAGCCGCAGCAGCAGCAGCATCAGGTGGACCTGGAGCAGGACCTCAAACAACAGGCTTGGGCCTACTTGGACAGCACCCTGCCAACCGAGGTAGACAATCCCCTTGACTACTGGGCAACGAAACTTGACCTTTGGCCCCAACTAGCTGAATTTGCCCTTGAAAGGCTGTCATGCCCGGCCAGTAGCGTGGCATCGGAGCGCGTGTTTAGTGCGGCAGGAGGTATTGTAAACTCCGCGGAGGACACGACTGTCCACCCAAAGTGTGGAGAGACTCACGTTTGTGAAAATGAATCAGGCGTGGATTAGTCTGGATTTCAAACCACCAGTCCTGACACAACTGACTAAAATCCGCCATGAATCATGCCCCAAACATGTTATTATTTTTAATATAGGCCTCTGTATGGCCTTCAATTTAAGCTGCTTACGCTTCGCCACTCTGCCATGGGCCCCTGTACCGCCTCCTCTTGCTGCTGCCAGGTCCAGAGTGTGTCATGGGTCCCTGTACGGCCTCCCATTGCTGCTGTCTCCATCGCCACACTCTGCCATGTGCCACTTTCAGGTCTCCTCACACTGCTGGTGGGTTCCATTTTTTGTCATAGGGTGCTGTATGGCCTCCCATTGCTGCTGCCAGGCCCGTAATCTGCCATGGGCCCCCGTACCGACTCCTCATGCTGCTGCCAGGCCCGTAATCTGTCATGGGCCCCTGTACCGCCTCCTCATGCTGCTGCCAGGTCCAGAGTGTGTCATGGGTTCCTGTACGGCCTCCCATTGCTGCTGTCTCCATCGCCACACTCTGCCATGTACCACTTTCAGGTCTCCTCACACTGCTGGTGGGTTCCATTTTGTCATAGGGTGCTGGCAGATTACGGGCCTCCCATTGCTGCTGCCAGGCCCGTAATCTGCCATGGGCCCCCGTACCGACTCCTCATGCTGCTGCCAGGCCCGTAATCTGTCATGGGCCCCTGTACCGCCTCCTCATCATGCTGCTGCCAGGTCCAGAGTGTGTCATGGGTCCCTGTACGGCCTCCCATTGCTGCTGTCTCCATCGCCACACACTCTGCCATGTGCCACTTTCAGGTCTCCTCACACTGCTGGTGGGTTCCATTTTGTCATAGGGTGCTGGCAGATTACGGGCCTCCCATTGCTGCTGCCAGGCCCGTAATCTGCCATGGGCCCCGTACCGACTCCTCATGCTGCTGCCAGGCCCGTAATCTGTCATGGGCCCCTGTACCGCCTCCTCATGCTGCTGCCAGGTCCAGAGTGTGTCATGGGTCCCTGTACGGCCTCCCATTGCTGCTGTCTCCATCGCCACACTCTGCCATGTGCCACTTTCAGGTCTCCTCACACTGCTGGTGGGTTCCATTTTTGTCATAGGGTGCTGTATGGCCTCCCATTGCTGCTGCCTCCACCGCCACACTGTGGCTCCACACTCTGGTTTTGGCCCCGTGACTGCCCAAATGAGTGAAGTGCGGTGATTCTAAGATTGACGGCACTCATCTGCATGTCATACTGACTGACAGTATTATTTCTCTTCCCCAGCAGTCTCCAAGGGCATTTAAATTAAAGGTACAGTGTTCTGCACTATTATAAAGGCTCTCTGAAGCCTAGAAACACCCTTTTTATAAGTTAAATTCGCAGCAAATATATTCGACTTGAATCAAATTTATTCCGCGAATTCGCCGAATCAGCCGAATCGAATTTTTGAATAATTCGCTCATCTCTAATTTTCACCATTCAAGCACTTTATATTTATATTTCATATTTTGATTGAACTATCACGTTTTGAATCTGTTTATGGACTATTATGTTTATATGAGTTAGCGCAACACTATTTATGTATGTTTTATGTTTTAAGTGTGGGATCACCTTTTAAGTGTTATTGCAGCGGCTCTATTATATTAGCTTATTCAATAGTTTGATAGCGCACGTTGTTTTTTATTTATTTATATAGGCAATCCACCTACTCATAATATTTTTTTCCAGATTGAATGAGCAGGACCACCACTTGGATTAGTTTGCCATAGCATTAAAACAGAAGCAGAGAGAGCAGTATTTGTTCAGATTAATTGTGGGGTTTTTTTTTGGTGTTTGGATGTGTTCCAGCTCATTTCTGTGCAGAAGAAATTATTGCAGCAGTGTCTAACATTTTTTTTTTCAAGCAGAACCTCAAAGTATGGTGTACATATGAGTACCATTTGAGTACCATTTGAGTCCCAGGAAAACCCTTTGCATGCATTTTTCATGATGAAAATAGCTCTGGACAGCATCTGGAAATGGAAGAGTTAAAAAAAAAATTTCAACTGCAAATGCCTATAAAGTGGTTAGCCACATTTGCACGTGTTTACAAGCGTTTTGCATTTGAAACCCTGATAAAAAACTACTGCTGAACGCAAGTTTTTCTGCATTCAAAAAAAACGACTGTAAACTCAACTGCCTGTAAACGACTGTGTACATGGACACATAGGAAGACATTAGGGTGAGTTCAGGGGCTGCTGAAAAAAACGATGAACAGCTCCTAAATGTGAGTTTATCAGCTGCAGTGTACCAGAGCCCTAAGAAGAAATGTTGGTTATGCCGGAAAACCGAGTCAAAACCCAGCATTGTTATGTTAGCCAGCTACAATGCCTGAGCGTAGCTCATGTGCTTCCACTCTATGTCCACTTTATGTCTGGTTGAGTTGCTCATGTTTTGATTATTTATATTCATTTAATGTATACTTTTGCAAAATAGGTCACCTTCCACATTAAAGAGCTACCACATGTATGTTAAAATATGTGTGGTTGCCCTTGCTATGTTGATTTGAAACTGTAGTTTGCTATGAGTTAGTTGGTTCAATTTCACATGCCCCACACATATTCTCTTCAGGTTTTTAAATGGAGTGTATCAACACTGGTCTTGGTAAATTAGCACCAGGCCTGTGTAGTTTTTAATAAATGTCAGAAATTATAATTTTGCGAAACTATCCCTAGGCACACTTTTGGTGCAACTGCGTTAGCATTACTAATTCAGCATTCTTATCTTTAAAAGAGGTGGATACATTTCTGAAAGCACAATATACAAATACAGTTGTGACCAAAATTATATTCAACCCCCAATGCTGTAAAGGGGTTTAGGGACTATAGTGTACATTTGGAATTGTATTCAGAATCAAATCCTACAAGGACGTTGTAACTACCCAAATGCAACTAAAATGACATCAATTGTTTATGTAATACAGTAGTAAATGGTTCTTATGTGGTTTCTTCATTGCCACAATTATTCATTCACCCCTTAAAGACTACCACTCTGAAGAACAGAGGTTCATACAGGTGCTTTCCATCAGGTATTGAAAACACCTGT